CCTTTTGATGGTCCTAGCTATAACATGACCTTTTGATGGTCCTAGCTATAACATGACCTTTTTGTGGTCCTAGCTATGACATGACCTTTTTGTGGTCCTAGCTATAACATGATCTTTTGGTGGTCCTAGCTATAACATGACCTTTTGATGGTCCTAGCTATAGGTAGGTAACATGACCTTTTGTGATCCTAGCTATAACATGACCTTTTATGGCCCTAGCTATAGGTAGGTAACATGACCTTTTGTGGCCCTAGCTATAGGTAGATAACATGACCTTTTGATGGTCCTAGCTATAGGTAGATAACATGACCTTTTGGTTGTCCCTCGCAGTGATTTATCTGGATTAAGATGAGATTAATTCTGGATTATCAGTGTTCAGCAAAAGGTTAATAACCCTGGATTCGTTTTTTTTCACAGTCAATATCCGTGTAGTATGCTTGTGTTAAACGTGCATTAAACCCGTGCTAACCCGTGGTTAACCCACAACCCGTGCTAAACTGTGGTAAACTCATGTTAAAAGTGTGTGTTTTATCTTATCCAATTGCAAACAGAATCGAGTGAACTATGTTTCGACGTGTGCCACAATGATCTACTCACTGCTTTAAACTGCACTGTCATGGAACAGTTGGTAATTGTATAAACCATCCTGTGCTATCATCGACTGAAGAATGGATTTCAAATTTTCCCTAGGTATGACGTCACCACAACACTACTCACCTGTTTAAGAAGGTTACACATAGAGGGTCACAAAGTGGGGGGTTGAGGTTGTGTGTGTGGGGGGGGGGGGGTCACATATGGTCACATGATGACCATATGTGATGTCGGAATAAAATTCACAATGTTCTTCTAAAATTTTAGCACAACTGTGACACAAATCTATCACTTACACGTGAATGTCTGTCTGGTGACATGGCCACATGTATACTTGAATGTCTGACTTTGACCCCTGAAATAAATGTAACAATTCCAACTCTGACCTATTAGCTGACTCTAACAGCTGACTCTAACAGCTGACTCTAACAGCTGACTCTAACAGCTGACTCTAACAGCTGACTCTAACAGCTGACTCTAACAGCTGACTCTAACAGCTGACTCTAACAGCTGACTCTAACAGCTGACTCTAACAGCTGACTCTAACAGCTGACTCTAACAGCTGACTCTAACAGCTGACTCTAACAGCTGACTCTAATGGTTGCATCGTGTCCATTGTTTCTATAGCAGGCTGCGTGACAGAACGGTTTTTATAGCACCCCCTATGGGCATGTTCTTTAGCACCCACTGTGGGCATGTTCTTTAGCGCCCACTATGGGCATGTTCTTTAGCGCCCACTGTGGGCATGTTCTTTAGCGCCCACTATGGGCATGTTCTTTAGCGCCCACTATGGGCATGTTCTTTAGCGCCCACTGTGGGCATGTTCTTTAGCGCCCACTATGGGCATGTTCTTTAGCGCCCACTGTGGGCTTGTTCTTTAGCGCCCACTATGGGCATGTTCTTTAGCGCCCACTATGGGCATGTTCTTTAGCGCCCACTGTGAGCATGTTCTTTAGCACCCACTGTGGGCATGTTCTTTAGCGCCCACTATGAGCATGTTCAGTAAAATTCTTCTATAGAACCCACTGTAAAATTGTTCTATAGCACCCACTGTAAAATTGTTCTATAGCACCCACTGTAAAATTGTTCTATAGCACCCACTGTAAAATTGTTCTATAGCACCCACTGTAAAATTGTTCTATAGCACCCACTGTAAAATTGTTCTATAGCACCCACTGTAAAATTCTTCTATAGCACCCACTGTAAAATTCTTCTATAGCACCCACTGTGAACTGAGAGATTTTCGATGATAAACCAAGTAGTTTCTAATCTGTGGTGGTAAATATTTGAGCTGATCATTTCTGGTGGTAAATAATTGAGTAAACAAATTGTAGACGAGCACACAAACAAAAACACGCGCCAAAATCTGAAGGTGGAGAGATCTGGTGGGCGGAGGGGAGGTGAGGGGAGGGGATGGGGTGATGAGGGGAGGGTGGGTGTGAGAATGGTGACGGTAGTGCAGTCAAGAATCCCACGCTGAGGGTACTGTATGGCTGACTGCCATCTACACGTGTTCCATCCTGACCTTCACCCTCATTACGTCACATTACCTATCAACTTTACCTCCCGTTTCCTGCAATAGCAGGTCACCAAATGCCTAAAACAACATCACAAAGTCTCCTATCACTGTAGATAATTAAGCTTAACACTCTTTAACAAGCCCCCCCCCCCCCCCTTTTCATACGAGCTTAAAGCTTTCAATATCTGACCGACCAAATCTTTTAACTTAATCTGAACACATTTCAAATGTAGGCATTTCATTTGAACACAACGCATACATTATTTTAAATGACAATGCACAAATATATAAGTTTAGATTGCATTAGATACCATATTAAGTTTTTCAAATGTATCACAAGAGGAGGTAATTAAATAAGAAGTAGCGCTCCTGATATGTCTGGTGAACTGTGTTCATGGTGTTTACAATAATGACAGCCGACCAGATAATTAACCTTTCAATTCATCTTGTGGGGTGTCAACTTAATCAAAACGAAAGCAATTAAAATAATAAATGTCGTACTAATTGGTTTTTGAAACTGATATATCGAATTACACTTTACTTTAGAAAATAAAGTATAAAGCGTTGGTTGATCCAAAAATCTTTGAAATATGTTTTGCTACCAACGCTTTAATGTGTACTGTTAGAATACTATGTTATCATAATAGAAAAGGTATGCTTATATTCCTATTTTTATCGCATTTAAAGATTGTTATCATGGAGGGTTTTATCTTTTTTTAATGTCTGTGCACATATTTAAGGGGCGCATATCTTTAATATTAGGAGATTCAATAAGTTTAGCCGACATGTCCCCGTCGACGTAAAAAAACAACTCGTGATTATGATGTAAAAAGTGGGGCCATTTAATTCTAACGTTTCTAATGCACGAACCTAATTTAATGTGGTCTAATGAGCTCATAATGTGACGTCATGAAGTCACACCATAAACCACCTCCCCATATGACGTCATCCCCTTTGACCACCCATCTAAAACCCACTTCTCACCACCACACCGACACAACATCAGCAAAAACACAACGGCAACGTCATCTAATTAGCAGTGATTAGATTAATTAGTCCGCGTGACGACACCGGCCCAGCCTCTCATCATCCGTCAACATGTCCGAAAACTAGGACAAGAACTCATTAACTTTGCATAAATTAAATCTAATTAAAGCGAACACTTTAAGAACCCGCCTGTAGTTTGGCAAAGCTATTGTAAAGAAGTTGGAGACCAATTGTCCCAAACTTCATTAGCGGTGGTGTAGAGATGGATCACTTGTTGCTTGGAGGTCACGTGTGTAAACACCTGCCAGTACTGGGGCAAGTGTCGACGTCATCATCTCTCGTCTGCTGGGGGAACCGTTCGACTCCTGGCACCGTAGACTGGCCTTGACCTTCTCGCACACAATTCGAGAAAAGAGGTTAACTCATCCCATACACTCTAAAGTGTAAAGGTTTACTGTATTTGTTGAGGCCCTACTTATTTATTAAGGTCCTATGGTATTGCAGTCTTGTTATATTATGGCACTACTTTATTCTATTTTAAATCATGTTAATCTGAATCCTGCCATATTGAATTTTGATCACATTTTATTAAAGGCTTACAGTACGACATGACCATCACACACTATGACATGGGCCTTAGCCTGATCACCATTACCTGCGACCACCTGGCTAACTGACCACCTGACTAACTGACCACCTGGCTAACTGACCACCTGACTAACTGACCACCTGGCTAACTGACCACCTGACTAACTGACCACCTGACTAACTGACCACCTGACTAACTGACCACCTGGCTAACTGACCACCTAGCTAACTGACCACCTAGCTAACTGACTACCTGACTAACCAACCACCTGACTAACTGACCACCTGACTAACTGACCACCTGACTAACTGACCACCTGACTAACTGACCACCTGGCTAACTGACCACCTAGCTAACTGACCACCTAGCAATTGACCACTTGGCTAGCTGACCAACTGGCTAACTGACTAACTGACCACCTGGCTAACTGACCACCTGACTAACTGACCACCTGACTAACTGACCACCTGACTAACTGACCACCTGGCTAACTGACCACCTGGCTAACCAACAAACTGGCTAACTGGCTAACAAACCACCTGGCTAACCAACCACCTGGCTAACTGACCACCTGGCTAACTGACCACCTGGCTAACTGACCACCTGGCTAACCAACCACCTGGCTAACTGACCACCTGGCTAACTGACTACCTGGCTAACTGACCACCTGGTTAACTGACCACCTTGCTAACCAACCACCTGGCTAACTGACCACCTGGCTAACTGACCACCTGGCTAACTGACCACCTGGCTAACCAACCACCTGGCTAACTGACCACCTGGCTAACTGACCACCTGGCTAACCAACCACCTGGCTAACTGACCACCTGGCTAACTGACTACCTGGCTAACTGACCACCTGGCTAACCCACCACCTGACCACCTGGCTAACTGACCACCTGGCTAACTGACCACCTGGCTAACTGACCACCTGGCTAACTGACCACCTGGCTAACCAACCACCTGGCTAACTGACCACCTGGCTAACTGACTACCTGGCTAACTGACCACCTGGCTAACTGACCACCTTGCTAACCAACCACCTGGCTAACTGACCACCTGGCTAACTGACCACCTGGCTAACTGACCACCTGGCTAACCCACCACCTGACCACCTGGCTAACCAACCAACTGGCTAACCAACCAACTGGCTAACCAACCACCTGGCTAACCAACCACCTGGCTAACTGACCACCTGGCTAACCAACCACCTGACCACCTGGCTAACCAACCACCTGGCTAACTGACCACCTGGCTAACTGACCACCTGGCTAACCAACCACCTGGCTAATTGACTCCCCTTACTCTCCCCAGACAATGACATCGAGGACCTGGAGATGCAGGTGGTCCGCTACAAGCCCGAGGGCCTGGACACCTTGTGTAAGACGACCAAGTTCAGTAGGAAGGAGCTGCAGATCATGTACAGGGGCTTCAAGCAGGTCAGTACCACAAAGATCATACACAGGTCAGTCACACAAAGATCATACACAGGTCAGTCACTTAAAGATCATACACAGGTCAGTCACTTAAAGATCATACACAGACCAGTCACACAAAGATCATACACAGGTCAGCCACTGACGGATGGCCGGGACTTAACTAACCGCCACCTCCCTACATCCCCCCCCCCCCCAAAAAAAAACCTAGTTATGTAACTACTTGCCTCAGCTAACCGCGCAACTACTCCCCTCCTCCCTAGCTAGTTGTGTAAGTACTCCCCCCCACTAACGTGGTGTAAGTACTCCCCCCCCCCACTAACGTTGTGTAAGTACTCCCCCCCCCACTAACGCTGTGTAAGTACTCCCCCCCCCCCCCACTAACGTTGTGTACTCCCCTACCTCCCCTAACTAGCTGTGTAGTTTCACACCTCGATATCCCCCCCCCCCCCTCCCCCCGGCCCCAGCATCCACAAAAAGACATCTCTCCTCTGGAAAAAAAATCGATGGCTTCCATTGTTGGTTTTAAAAGGTTGTCACCGTGCTCAAACTGTTAGCTTTTTAAATATGCAGGCTAGGTGGCCAGTCGATGAGACTTGTCAATTTTCTAGGCTAGGTGGCCAGTCGATGAGACTTGTCAATTTTCTAGGCTAGGTGGCCAGTCGATGAGACTTGTCAATTTTATAGGCTAGGTGGCCAGTCGATGAGACTTGTCAATTTTCTAGGCTAGGTGGCCAGTCGATGAGACTTGTCAATTTTCTAGGCTAGGTGGCCAGTCGATGAGACTTGTCAATTTTCTAGGCTAGGTGGCCAGTCGATGAGACTTGTCAATTTTCTAGGCTAGGTGGCCAGTCGATGAGACTTGTCAATTTTATAGGCTAGGTGGCCAGTCGATGAGACTTGTCAATTTTCTAGGCTAGGTGGCCAGTCGATGAGACTTGTCAATTTTCTAGGCTAGGTGGCCAGTCGATGAGACTTGTCAATTTTCTAGGCTAGGTGGCCAGTCGATGAGACTTGTCAATTTTCTATGCTAGGTGGCCAGCGATGAGACTTGTCAATGTTTAAGGATAGGTGGCCAGTCGATGAGACTTGTCAATTTTCTAGGCTAGGTGGCCAGTCGATGAGACTTGTCAATTTTCTAGGCTAGGTGGCCAGTCGATGAGACTTGTCAATGTTTGTCTGGCCAGGTGGTCAACATCTTGTCTCGTCAGGTGGTCAACATGTTGTCTGTCCATCTTCGGCTAAACTTAACCCAGAGAAACAACACCCTTGTTTGAACCATACCACAAAACACAGCTAAAACTACCTTACACTAATCCTTACCCAGACAAACTGCCTGAACCCTAACCCCCCTGACGTCACACTACCTAACCCCTGCACCACGTGATCTGAGACATCCAATCGATGGTGACAGTTCACCCAGGGCAGCTTGTTCAGATGTTGCTATGGCAACCATCACATGTTTTGTGTCATTAACGTCCGGTTAAGTCATCAGTCAAACATGGCTGAATGTAAGTCACATAGGGACGAGATTTGACTTGGTTGGGTGGTGACTGCATTCAATCACAGGATGATTGGGTGTGACTGCATTCAATCACAGGATGATTGGGTGGTGACTTCATTAAGTCTCAAGATGATTGGGTGGTGACTGCATTAAGTCTCAAGATGATTGGGTGGTGACTGCATTAAGTCTCAAGATGATTGGGTGGTGACTTCATTAAGTCTCAAGATGATTGGGTGTGACTGCATTAAGTCTTAAGATGATCTGATAATCTCTAATCCCATCCCTTATTCTCTGGATTTAAAAAAAGAGGATCATTATCAGCGTTCATTATCTGGCAGTGCCATCGGTCAGCGTGACCCTTGGTGACCTCCCACTGCACGTGACGTCACTGTGAGTGTGACACCGTTTTTAGCTCGATGGGTTCTCTGACTTTAAAATGTGACAAGTCAGGTTGGACACAGATATGTACTAGCAAGTGAAACAGGTGGGAATCACCTTGTGTTGCGGCGCCCTAACAAATACCGCCCCATGTGAACGCCGCCCCAATGGCCCCCTCAGAGCCTATCGCCCCTACATATCGCCCCCCCCCCCCCCACCCCTGCAGGTTGTTGTAACGTTATTTCATGTGGCTGTACACAGAAGCACGCGATAACACGAGGTGGGGGTGGGGTGAGGAAACAAGAAAATAAAATTATGAACCGGAAGAAAACATTTCTTGCTGGCCAGCAATGGATGGCACGGCTTTCAAATGGCCAGGTTCTCATGGCTGGCCAGACTTGTGTTCAGCTGGCCAGGTTTGGCCCAAACTGGGAATAATGCAATTACTGGGGTAAACACACTGAGCGTAGGTGGATGGGGGGGGGGGAAAGAAGGGGGCATTAGGAACTTATGATTTCATGAGTCAAACATCGTGTGCCAAAGATTTATGGCGTGATTACATTAGGATCATGTTAGTATGTGTAGAACCTACGTGCTCACTACCTGCGATGTTAAATGCCGGTATTCCGCCAGCCCTCGGCGTGAGCAGTAGCTGGGCTGTGTGCAGATACTTTCTGCTGGTTCACCTGCTACACGGCACAACGCCAGGTGTGTTAGGCCGCACAACAGGTGTGTTACACAGCGCCACAACAGGTGTGTTACACAGCCTTACACGTGGTGTGTTACACAGCCTTACACGTGGTGTGTTACACTGCGCTACACGTGGTGTGTTACACAGCATTACACATGGTGTGTTACACAGCATTACACATGGTGTGTTGTAAATGAACTCAAAAACAAACTAATTTTTGCCGGTGTTACACTGCCAAAACGGCCCGTGACAAAAGGCCCGCGTCCAAACGGCCCCTCCCCCCCACCCCACCCCCCCCCCCCCTCCCACCTGCACCGTGTTGTACTCACCCAGGTGCGTCAGACCGGAAGTCTGTGAGCTGAATCCAAAAGCTGACCAAGTGCTCACCGTCTGCTTGTAAAGATGAAATTAAAAATGTATCGAGCGCCTGCTAACATAAGCGGCCAGTAAGTTCGTTAGTGACGTCATTGAAACTGGAGACGCTAGGACGGGTAGAGAAAAAAAATATTTTAATTGCGCGGGTCTGTCCCCCCAGGGACGGGCAGCGTGTAAGTACACACAGGTGGCGTGTTAGTACACGCTTCGTCGGCCCGAGCAGCCTCGATTTGGATTGGGTTTCAGATTGTCAATGATTGGAGGATGATGGTGTTAAGCGAGAGAAACCCATCAATAATTCGGGCTGGCTCGGGAATTACTGTAGGTGTGAATTACTACTGGATGATTGTAGATGTGGATCACTAGGTGATTGTAGACGTGGATGAATGGGTGATTGTAGTGGATGATTGTAGATGTGGATCACTGGGTGATTGTAGATGTGGATCACTGGGTGATTGTAGATGTGGATCACTGGGTGATTGTAGATGTGGATCACTGGGTGATTGTAGATGTGGATCACTGGATGATTGTAGATGTGGATCACCGGGTGATTGTAGATGTGGATCACTGGGTGATTGTAGATGTGGATCACTGGCTGATTGTAGATGTGGATCACTGGGTGATTGTAGATGTGGATCACTGGATGATTGTAGATGTGGATCACCGGGTGATTGTAGATGTGGATCACTGGGTGATTGTAGATGTGGATCACTAGGTGATTGTAGACGTGGATGAATGGGTGATTGTAGTGGATGATTGTAGATGTGGATCACTGGGTGATTGTAGATGTGGATCACTGGGTGATTGTAGATGTGGATCACTGGGTGATTGTAGATGTGGATCACTGGATGATTGTAGATGTGGATCACCGGGTGATTGTAGATGTGGATCACTGGGTGATTGTAGATGTGGATCACTGGGTGATTGTAGATGTGGATCACTGGGTGATTGTAGATGTGGATCACTGGATGATTGTAGATGTGGATCACCGGGTGATTGTAGATGTGGATCACTGGGTGATTGTAGATGTGGATCACTGGATGATTGTAGATGTGGATCACTAGGTGATTGTAGACGTGGATGAATGGGTGATTGTAGTGGATGATTGTAGATGTTGATCACTAGGTGATTGTAGATGTGGATCACTAGGTGATTGTAGATGTGGATCACTAGGTGATTGTAGATGTGGATCACTAGGTGATTGTAGATGTGGAGCACTGGATGATTGTAGGCACAGTGAGAAGAGTACGTGATTGTGTAAAAAGCCGACAGTAAAACCTACCTGCCACCCACAAGTCACGTGTCTCTGTGACGTAGAATCTACTGTGTTTGTGCTAGTTACCTGTTTTATTTTTATGTGCCTATGTGTTTGCTCTATGTGCCTATGTGTTCTATATGCCAATATGTTTGTTCTGTTCATCTCTTTCAAATCACTTGTTCAATTACCAGCAAGGCCGCCTCCAAGTTTTCCTTTCTTCTGACCTAACTGACCACTAGGTGACCAGCCGGTGACCACTAGGTGACCATCCGGTGATCCTGGTAGCAGATATTGAACATTTCAATCCTGCTCTAGGCTAATAGGTTATTTCTGACGATTGTAGTGGAGCCGGATATTTCTGATGATTGTAACCGGACCGGATATTTCTGATGATTGTAACCGGACCGGATATTTTTGATGATTGTAACCGGACCGGACATTTCTAATGATTGAAACCGGACCGGATATTTCTAATGACTGTAACCGGACCGGACATTTCTAATGATTGTAGCCGGGCCGGATATTTCTGACGGCTAACCGGACCGGATACTTCTGATGATTGTAACCGGACCGGTTATTTCTGATGACTGTAACCGGACCGGACATTTCTGATGATTGTAACCGGACCGGACGTTTCTAATGATTGTAACCGGACCGGACATTTCTAATGATTGTAACCGGGCCGGACATTTCTAATAATTGTACTTTCTGTCCCCAGGAATGTCCGACTGGTATAGTCAACGAGGAGACGTTCAAGGAAATTTACGCTCAGTTTTTTCCTCAGGGTGGTAAGTACCATTGGTGTAGTGTGTACAAGTACTGAGTACCATTATTGTAGTGTGTACAAGTACTGAGTACCATTGGTGTAGTGTGTACAAGTACTGAGTATCATTGGTGTAGTGTGTACATGTACTGAGTGACAGTAGAGTATACCAATAGTAAAACGCCTTCTGACGGCCTATAGAAGTAATGAAGGAAGGGATCTCATCAGCTACAACACCTGCAGGGGTGTGGTGGTCAGCAGGGGTGGGGTGGTCAGCAGGGGTGGGGTGGTCATTAGGGGTGGGGTGGTCAGCAGGGGTGGGGTGGTTAGCAGGGGTGGGGTGGTCAGCAGGGGTGGGGTGGTCATTAGGGGTGGGGTGGTTAGCAGAGGTGGGGTGGTCAGCAGGGGTGGGGTGGTCAGCAGTTGTGGGGTGGTCGGGTGGGGTGGGGTGGTCAGCAGCGGTGGGGTGATCAGCAGGGGTGGGGTGGTCAGCAGGGGTGGGGTGATCAGCAGGGGTAGGGTGGTCAGCAGGGGTAGGGTGGTCAGCAGGGGTGGGGTGATCAGCAGGGGTAGGGTGGTCAGCAGGGGTGGGGTGGTTAGCAGGGGTGGGGTGGTCATTAGGGGTGGGGTGGTCAGCAGGGGTGGGGTGGTCAGCAGGGGTGGGGTGGTCAGCAGGGGTGGGGTGGTCAGCAGGGGTGGGGTGGTCAGCAGGGGTGGGGTGGTCATTAGGGGTGGGGTGGTCAGCAGGGGTGGGGTGGTCAGCAGGGGTGGGGTGGTCATTAGGGGTGGGGTGGTTAGCAGGGGTGGGGTGGTCAGCAGGGGTGGGGTGGTCAGCAGGGGTGGGGTGGTCAGCAGTTGTGGGGGTGGTCGGGTGGGGTGGGGTGATCAGCAGGGGTAGGGTGGTCAGCAGGGGTGGGGTGATCAGCAGGGGTAAGGTGGTCAGCAGGGGTGGGGTGGTCATTAGGGGTGGGGTGGTTAGCAGGGGTGGGGTGGTCATTAGCGGTGGGGTGGTCAGCAGGGGTGGGGTGGTCAGCAGGGGTGGGGTGGTCAGCAGGGGTGGGGTGGTCAGCAGGGGTGGGGTGGTCAGCAGGGGTGGGGTGGTCATTAGGGGTGGGGTGGTCAGCAGCGGTGGGGTGATCAGCAGGGGTAGGGTGGTCAGCAGGGGTGGGGTGATCAGCAGGGGTAGGGTGGTCAGCAGGGGTGGGGTGGTCATTAGGGGTGGGGTGGTTAGCAGGGGTGGGGTGGTCATTAGGGGTGGGGTGGTCAGCAGGGGTGGGGTGGTCAGCAGGGGTGGGGTGGTCAGCAGGGGTGGGGTGGTCAGCAGGGGTGGGGTGGTCAGCAGGGGTGGGGTGGTCATTAGGGGTGGGGTGGTCAGCAGGGGTGGGGTGGTCAGCAGGGGTGGGGTGGTCAGCAGGGGTGGGGTGGTCATTAGGGGTGGGGTGGTCATTAGGGGTGGGGTGGTCAGCAGGGGTGGGGTGGTCAGCAGGGGTGGGGTGGTCAGCAGGGGTGGGGTGGTCAGCAGGGTGGGGTGGGGTGGTCAGCAGGGGTGGGGTGGTCAGCAGGGGTGGGGTGGTCAGCAGGGGTGGGGTGGTCAGCAGGGGTGGGGTGGTCATTAGGGGTGGGGTGGTTAGCAGGGGTGGGGTGGTCAGCAGGGGTGGGGTGGTCAGCAGGGGTGGGGTGGTCAGCAGGGGTGGGGTGGTCAGCAGGGGTGGGGTGGTCAGCAGGGGTGGGGTGGTCAGCAGGGGTGGGGTGGTCAGCAGGGGTGGGGTGGTCAGCAGTTGTGGGGTGGTCAGCAGGGGTGGGGTGGTCAGCAGGGGTGGGGTGGTCAGCAGGGGTGGGGTGGTCAGCAGGGGTGGGGTGGTCAGCAGGGGTGGGGTGGTCAGCAGGGGTGGGGTGGTCAGCAGGGGTGGGGTGGTCAGCAGTACTTCCAAACAACACCTGCAGGAGTGGGGTGGTCAGCAGTACTCCCACCACTGGCACCAGAACTGCCAGATAACAAGGTCGTGCAAGAGCTCGAGACGCAGAACCGAACTCAAGCCTTGGAGGGTAGCCGTGTGCACTAGCGTATGACCACGAGCATGACAAGCACAACAGATCGTTACATGAGAATAGTTGGTGTCAGCTTTACTGTGACTCAATTTAAACCTCACTGTTTAGCTCTGTATGATATCACTGTTTAGCTCTGTATGATATCACAGTTTAGCTCTGTATGATATCACTGTTTAGCTCTGTATGATATCACAGTTTAGCTCTGTACGATATCACTGTTTAACCTCGCTATGACATCACAGTTTAGCTCCCCTATGACATAACATCACAGTTTAGCTCCCCTATAACATCACAGTTTAGCTCCCCTATAATATCACAGTTTAGCTCCGCTATATCGCCGTATAAAGCTGCCTGCCCCTCCCATGACCACCACCCTCCCGCCTAGAGCCCACATTATACATTCCGACAATAAAACATTTTTACGGCTCTTATGTCTCCCAAGTGTTTCAATCCCGCCCTGTGCACTCAAAGCATTGATATTCTCAAATGGGGCAAAAACGTGTGTACCCTAAAAGCATAGATATTCTTGAACGGGGCAACATTTTATTCGAGTGTGCACTGAAAGTATTGGTATTATTGAATGGTGCAAAACGTTATTCCCTTAGTGTACACAAGGAACAGTGATACCATTGAATGGGGTACAACTTTATTCCCATAGTGTTCACTGCAAACATTGCTTTTCTTGAATGGGGTAACAGTTTATCGCCGCCTAGTGCAATGAATACAGCGCTGTTCTTGAATGGTACAAAAGCCCGTGCCTTGAGCAACAAAATGGCGGCTGTGTAAAACTGTGTAAAACAGCAGAGATGAAATCTAAATAAATAAACCATCACAGCTCTGATGGGCGAGATTGCTTATTCACTTGTGCGGTGTGGAGGGGGGGGGGGGGAGGGAGGGATCATTGGTCGGGAATCGATGGGTCGATACTCGTCTGATCAGTTCACTTGTTTGTCCTTATGTGAAATCGATACGAACAAGTCCGTAACAGGCTAACGATTGATTATTGATGACGTGTTGATGGCATATCGATAACGTTATGTCCACATGTCTCATAATATGCTTACATTGATACCTTTGTCGGTGTGTTCACATATGCTGCAGTGTTTCTTCCACACTTTTTTCTCCGGGGGGGGGGGGGGGGCGGGGGACACTAGTAAAAGTATATGTTTACTATATAAATTCTATCTCGTTCGGGGGGGGGGGGGGGGGAGGGCGCTGGATTTTTTTTCGGGTGGGGGGGGGGGGGGCTCTGCCTTCCGAAGAGATGCCTGGAAGAAATGCTGCTCATATACCACAACATATGCTAACAATAATTTTATGCCCACATATGCTAACGATAACTTTATGCCCACAGATGCTTCAGCATATGCCCACTACGTCTTCAACACATTCGATCACGATCACAATGGATCGATCAGTTTTGAGGTAATCGATGGTGTAAAATCAATTTTAACACGTCATTGTTTTGGGAGTTGTGTTAAACATTGACACCGTGGCATACACGACACCAACTAACGACACTAACTGACATACACAACTTGGCATATGACATCTGTCAATATACCTAACTTGGCATATGACATTACTGTCTTTCTTCACTATGTTTTATTTATAGGTTGCCTGTATATTTTGTATATGAGAGACTTCTGTCTGTCTGTCTGTCTGTCTGTCTTTCTGTCGTAGGATTGTGTCATAAGTCTGTCTATCTGCCTGTTCCAGGAGTTCGTCATGGGCCTGTCTGTCTGTTTGTCTGTCTGTCTGTCTGTCTGTCTGTCTGTCTGTCTGTCTGTCTGTCTGTCTGTCTGTCTGTCTGTCTGTCTGTCTGTCTGTCTGTCTGTCTGTCGTAGGATTGTGTCATAAGTCTGTCTATCTGCCTGTTCCAGGAGTTCGTCATGGGCCTGTCTGTCTTGTCTGTCTGCCTGCCTGTCTGTCTGTCTGTCTGTCTGTCTGTCTTTTTGTCGTAGGATTGTGTCATAAGTCTGTCTATCTGCCTGTTCCAGGAGTTCGTCATGGGCCTGTCTGTCTGTTTGTCTGTCTGTCTGTCTGTCTGTCTTTTTGTCGTAGGATTGTGTCATAAGTCTGTCTATCTGCCTGTTCCAGGAGTTCGTCATGGGCCTGTCTGTCTGTTTGTCTGTCTGTCTGTCTGTCTGTCTGTCTGTCTGTCGTAGGATTGTGTCATAAGTCTGTCTATCTGCCTGTTCCAGGAGTTCGTCATGGGCCTGTCTGTCTGTTTGTCTGTCTGTCTGTCTATCTGTCTGTCGTAGGATTGTGTCATAAGTCTGTCTATCTGCCTGTTCCAGGAGTTCGTCATGGGCCTGTCTGTCTTGTCAAGAGGAACATTCCAGGAGCGTCTCCAGTGGGCGTTTAGCCTGTATGACGTCAACGGTGATGGCGTCATCACCAAGGACGAGATGCTGGACATAGTGACGTCAATCTACGAGATGATGGGCCGCTACACGGAGCCGTCTATTGACGAGACCACGGCCCGTGAGCACGTGGACCGTGTCTTCCAGGTTAGTCGGTCATTACACACAGGTCATTACACACAGCTCAATACACACAGGTCATTACATCATTAAATGGTTACAAATCATCAAGTAATTACACGCTTTAACATTAATACATTTTTGCATAATCAATCAAACTAGACCCCGACAAAACCAACCCTCTAACTGACCAACCCTCTAACTGACCAACCCACTAACTGACCAACCCACTCACTGGCCAACCCTCTAACTGACAAACCCTCTAACTGATCAACCCACTCACTGGCCAACCCTCTAACTGACCAACCCGCTAACTGACCAACGCTCTCACTGAACAACCCTCTCAATGGCCAACCGTCTAACTGACCAACCCTCTAACTGACCAAACCACTCACTTACCAACCCTCTAACTGACCAACCCTCTAACTGACCAACCCTCTAACTGACCAACCCTCTAACTGACCAACCCTCTAACTGACCAACCCTCTAACTGGCCAACCCTCTAACTGACCAACCCTCTAACTGACCAACCCTCTAACTGACCAACCCTCTAACTGGCCAACTCTCTAACTGACCAACCCTCTAACTGACCAACTTTCTTACTGACCAACCCTCTAACTGACCAACCCTCTAACTGACCAACCCTCTAACTGACCAACTTTCTTACTGACCAACCCTCTAACTGACCAACCCTCTAACTGACCCACCCTCTAACTGACCAACTTTCTTACTGACCAACCCTCTAACTGACCAACCCTCTATCTGACCAACCCTCTAACTGACCAACCCTCTAACTGACCAACCCTCTAACTGACCAACCCTCTGACTGACCAACCCTCTAACTGACCAACCCACTAACTGGCCAACCTTCTCATTGACCAACCCTCTAACTGACCAACCCTCTAACTGACCAACCCTCTAACTTACCAACCCTCTAACTGACCAACCCTCTCGTCCATCAGAAAATGGATACCAACCGTGACGGGGTCATCTCAGTGGAAGAGTTTATGGACACTTGTCGAAAGGTGAGCTGGTTACATGGTTAGCTGGTTAACTGGTTACATTATTAGCTGGTTAACTGGTTACATGGTTAGCTGGTTACATGGTTAACTGGTTACATGGTTGGCTGGTTAACTGGTTACATGGTTAGCTGGTTACATGATTAGCTGGTTAACTGGTTACATGGTTGGCTGGTTAACTGGTTACATGGTTAGCTTGTTACATGGTTAACTGGTTACATGGTCGGCTGGTTAACTGGTTACATGGTTAGCTGGTTACATGATTAGCTGGTTAACTGGTTACATGGTTGGCTGGTTAACTGGTTACATGGTTATCTGTGTAACTGGTCACATGGTTAGCTGGTTAACTGGTCACATGGTTAGCTGGTTAATTGGTTACATGGTTAGCCGGTTAACTGGTCACATGGTTACCTGGTTAACTGGTCACATGGTTAGCTGGGTAACTGGTCACATGGTTAGCTGGTTAATTGGTTACATGGTTAGCTTGTTAACTGGTCACATGGTTACCTGGTTAACTGGTCACATGGTTAGCTGGTTAGCTGGTCACGTGGTTAGCTGGTTAGTTGGTTAACTGGTTACATGGTTAGCTGGTTAACTGGTTACATAATTAGCTGGTTAACTGGTTACATGGTTAGTTGGTTAACTAGTCACATGATTAGCTGGTTAACTGGTAACTTGGTTGGCTTGTTATCTAATTAGCTGGTTACATGGTTGGCTGGTTAACTGGTTACATGGTTGGCTAGTTACATGGTTAGCTGGTTACTTAATTAGTTGGTTACCTGTTCACATAATCAGCTGGTTAACTGGTTACATAATTAGCTGTTGACATGGTTCACTGGTTGTATGATTAGCTGATTACATCGTTAGTTGGTAACTTGGTTGGCTGGTTACATGGTTAGCTGGTTACGTGGTTATCTCATTAAATCATTAGATGGTTACATGGTTGGATGGTTATATCGTTGGATGGTTAGCTGGTTGGTTAAATGGTTAAGTGATAAGCTGGTTATTGTGACTAGTCAGTGTTTGATACAGGGAGTCAGTATTTGGTCGGAGTCAGCATTAGGGTGGAGTCAGTATTTGGTCGGAGTCAGCATTAGGGTGGAGTCAGTATTTGGATGGAGTCATCCTATGGGTGGAGTCAGTGTTTGAAGTGACCATCCTCTCTATTGCAGGATGAAAACATCACCAAAGGCATGTCGATGTTCGATACAGTACTGTGATACAAGTAACCTTGACCTCCAGCTGTTGTAGGGGGTGGGGCGCCTCTGGTGTCCTCCCTGTTTCCCCTCAAGTCTTTGGCTCCGACGCTGACATTAAAGCACTCGCTTACTGGTAGCATTGACACTGTCACTGACACTATACACTGTCACTGACACTATACACTGACACTATACACTGCCACTGACACTATACCTTGTCATTGACTCCATATATTGTTCACCATTTCTAACGTTATTGTTTCTCTAGAACTTATCTCTACCAGAAAAAAATGGCACGCAAAAAGCGAAATTTCTTTGGCAACTCATATATTTCTCTCTCCCTCCCCCGTTCTCTCTGTCTCTCACTTACTCTTTCTTTCTCTGTCTGCGTCTCTCCGTCTAAAAAATGAAAAGCGTTTTTGTTGCACAAGAATTATTTCCCCTGCCATAAGGGAGACGAATGCAGCACTCAGGGGAGACAATGTATAATTTAGACAATAGAACGGCATTACATCAGATGAGCGCTCATCTATATTTGCTGCTTGAAAAAAATAGTCTAGTGACGCACCACACTAACTTATATGCAAGAAACTTTCCTCTACATGTTTTAAAACCTTTTCAAATACACAAACGCTCATAAACAGTTTTGTCATTGGAAAAAAGAAATGTGTAATTATTTGATATTTTTTGTTATTTTAATGAAACGTATTTCTCATGCCTGTAAAGATGTCCATTCATCTTTTTTCCATTATATGATTCTTTGTTGTTCTGTACCGCTATTCCCCTATACTTTTGTATTGACTGGACAATTTGTTGTCTGGACACTATGTTGTCTGGACAGTGTGTTGTCTGGACAGTGTGTTGTCTGGACAGCGTGTTGTCTGGACAGTGTGTTGTCTGGACAGCGTGTTGTCTGGACAGTGTGTTGTCTGGACAGCGTGTTGTCTGGACAGTGTGTTGTCTGGACAGCGTGTTGTCTGGACAGTGTGTTGTCTGGACAGCGTGTTGTCTGGACAGCGTGTTGTCTGGACAGCGTGTTGTATGGAGACGGTGTTGTCCGGACAGTGTGTTGTCTGGACAACGTGTTGTCTGGACACTGTTGTCTAGACAGTGTGTTGTCCGGACAGTGTGTTGTCTGGACTTAGCTGGACAGTGTGTTGTCTGGACACTGTTGTCTGGACAGTGTGTTGTCTGGACAGCGTGTTGTCTGGACTTAGCTGGACAGTGTGTTGTCATGACATGTCCTGGTCCTGTGTGGCCAGGTCCTGGTCCTGTCGATGTAACACCTTTTGTTCTGTCCTGGTTTTTTCTTGTGAGCCACTGTCATCTCTTGGTCCTGCCCAGATCATCTCAAGTCCTGGTCATGTCCTGGTTACATAGAGGACATGTCCTAGTATTAAAATACCCTAGCATTATTTAACATCTAAAGCTTTATCTGACCTTGGCTTAGAAGGTTTCTCGTGATGGTACGTATTGTGGCTACTTGTTCTGGTACATGTTTCAGTACATTTTCTGGTACATGTTCTGGTACATGTTCTAGTACATGTTCTAGTACATGTTCTGGTACATGTTCTGGTACATGTTCTGATACATGTTTTTGTACATGTCCTGGGACATGTTCTAGTACATGTTCTATTACATGTTCTGGTACATGTTCTATTACATGTTCTGGTACATGTTCTAATACATGTTCTGGTACATGTTCTGGTACATGTTCTGGTACATGTTCCGGTACATGTTCCGGTACAGCGCTAGCAGCCACCACCCTGTTTCTGTCAGATCATGATTTACCGTGTATGCTGTTATTTTCAGCACTTTTCTCTTGATGTAATGTTTACTTTCTGATTGAACAGATTGAATGAAACACACTAAAACAATCATAAAATTATCCACATCGACATATACCATATGTACACATCAGACCACAAACCTGAATCCTAAACCACAACTAAACCCTACACCACAAGTAAACCCTACACCACAAGTAAACCCTACACCACAAGTAAACCCTACACCACAAGTAAACCCTACACCACAAGTAAACCCTACACCACAAGTAAACCCACTTGCAACCACACTTACTAATACTACGATTTACCCCAATTGTACACATAATTTACCACCAAAGACCAGACACCATCTAAACTGCAACAGTTACATCATCATAATACAACATTACAAAGTGGTGCAAGTCATGTGCTAATGTTGACACCCTGATGTGCTAATGTTGACATCGTCATGTGCTGATATTGACATCGTGATGTTTTAAATATTCTGTGATTGAGTGATATCTGTTAATTAAATTTAGAACTTGATTAAAACAGAGGCTGAACGGATGTTACATTGCCATTGTATTTTTTTATGTCCAAATTTTTATTTGAAAGTGAAAAAAATAAAATGTGTTCATGATAAAACTGTTCGATTTCATTTTTTTTCTTCATCTGTTAAAAGGGACGTTAGAATCTCATACATTAACCCCTCGCCCCCCCCCAGACATACACAATTAACACTCACACATTCATCCCGTCTACATACACCCCCCACATCCACCCCACCTCTCATGAGCATCAGCAGGAATTTGTCCAGGTTACCATTCTGTTTATGTGACCTCCCTGTTTATGTGACCTCCCTGTTTATGTGACCTCCCTGTTTATGTGACCTCCCTGTTTATGTGACCTCCCTGTTTATGTTATGTAACCTCCCTGTTTATGTCACCTCCCTGTTTATGTGACCTCCCTGTTTGTGTGACCTCCCTGTTTATGTGATGTGACCTCCCTGTTTATGTGATGTGACCTCCCTGTTTATGTGATGTGACCTCCTTGTTTGTGTGACCTCCCTGTTTATGTGACCTCCCTGTTTATGTGACCTCCCTGTTTGTGTGACCTCCCTGTTTATGTGGCCTCCCTGTTTGTGTGATCTCCCTGTTTATGTGATCTCCCTGTTTATGTGACCTCCCTGTTTATGTGACGTCCCTGTTTATGTGACCTCCCTGTTTATGTGACCTCCCTGTTTATGTGACCTAACTGTTTATGTGACCTCCCTGTTTATGTCACTGCTTTATTCATGTAACCTCCCCGTTGGACCTGAAACGGATGGACAAAAGGTGTTTATAATTCTCTACGTGGGGACTATGCGGGACACCACCAACACCACGTAAGCGCGCCTAGTCGCACCCTCCCTTCCTCTTTTGGCATATCGCTACCATCCCCACCCCCACCGGTCTGGTGAACTTTGGTTAACGCCAAATGTTTACAATCGTAGAGCCGGGTAGGAATAGTGACGGCTATTAGGGACAGATAATTTAGTTTTTTAAACGATCTGAAACTGAGTTTATATGTAATATTGCGGAAAAGGTGGATAAGACAGCCTACTAATTTGGACAAAATTTTAATTAATACGTAAGAAATTAATTAGGCATCCAATTAAATCAAATTTGATGTGAGATTGCGTTATCTTCATTTCTTGACCCACGTGCCAACTATGAACCGAATCTGTCAGTTAGAAGTGCCCGAAGTTTTTCTCGGCCGTTTCGATCTAAACTGATAACAGAGACAGTAAGTTAAATAAAAGCTTGTAATAAAAAGCTTGTAATAACAAATCAAAATTGACGAATTCTTCAATATACAGGGGTCTCTCAGCTTTGAATCGTTGTGGTATGTATAATTTTTTATGTGTTTTTAGTATTTTTTGTAGTGTTTGTAGTATTTTTTCTCTATTGTACCCCAGTTAATCGGCTGCAACCCATCTGGTTCAGTGAAGTTGACATCCGACACGTGCTATATTTTAAAGCTCACCAACTGCTAGCGACACGAGTGCTTTATCAAGGACGAGATCATGTGACTAAGTTCGTGCCATTAGCCCGATGTGGGTGTGTGGGCAGGTGGTTGTTGTAAATGGTGTGCGATGTTGCATGAAGCTTCACGCCTGTCTGTTGCTTGCTGTGGTCCATTAATTTGAAATGGTCTCCACCAAACTGGCAACAGCTTGGTCCGACTGCGTAGATCACCAGAGTAGATCACGATACTCTCCACTGGCGTAGATCACGATAACCTCCACCAGTAGATCACGCTACTCTCCACTGGCGTAGATCACGCTACTCTCCACTGGCGTAGATCACGATAACCTCCACCAGTAGATCACGCTACTCTCCACTGGCGTAGATCACGCTACTCTCCACTGGCGTAGATCACGCTACTCTCCACTGGCGTAGATCACACTACTCTCCACTGGCGTAGATCACGAAACTCTCCACTGGCGTAGATCACGCTACTCTCCACTGGCGTAGATCACGAAACTCTCCACTGGCGTAGATCACGAAACTCTCCACTGGCGTAGATCACGCTACTCTCCACTGGCGTAGATCACGCTACTCTCCACTGGCGTAGATCACACTACTCTCCACTGGCGTAGATCACGAAACTCTCCACTGGCGTAGATCACGCTACTCTCCACTGGCGTAGATCACGAAACTCTCCACTGGCGTAGATCACGAAACTCTCCACTGGCGTAGATCACGAAACTCTCCACTGGCGTAGATCACGAAACTCTCTACGATACTCTCTCGACAATCTTGTGTGTAGGAGATTGTCAACAGCCATTATACATTGTAGCAAATAGAATAACTTTTACAGCCCTAATGGGAGAACTAATACAGCCGTAACAGGAGAACTGTTATATACAACGATTACAGGCAGGGCCGGCGCTACCTATAAGGCTAACTAGGCGGCCGCCTAGGGCCCTGTCCGTAGGAGGGCGCCAAAATAGGTTGGAAAAATAAATTCAAAGTTTGAGGGGGGGGGGGTTGCAAATCGAAAGTTTGAGGGGGGGGGTGCAAGGAAAAGGTCGCTACGCCTCTGATAATACGGGGGCACGAAAAAAATTGCGGGGGGAGGGGCGCGTTTAATACGTTTTGCCTAGGGCGCTAAATAACCTGGCGCCGGCACTGATTACAGGCAAAACAACAAAAAAGTTTTCAAACGTAAGCGACAGGTTTCATTTAATCAATCAACCCGTACACGCATTGATAAAATTACCTTACATGGAAATAATTAGACAACCCATGAAAATAATTAGACAACCCATGAAAATAATTAGACAACCCATACATGCATTGATAAAATTATCTTACATGGAAATAATTAGACAACCCATGCATTCATTGATAAAATTACCTTACATGGAAATAATTAGACAACCCATGAAAATAATTAGACAACCCATACATGCATTGATAAAATTACCTTACATGGAAATAATTAGACAACCCATGAAAATAATTAGACAACCCATACATGCATTGATAAAATTACCTTACATGAAAATAATTTGACAACTTGCTCTACAATTTATATTCGCTTCTTAAATATTACATCTTTATATAAATGTATTAGGACAGATGAAGTAGAGGTTTTTTTAATCTTCTACCTCGGACTCAATTGCCCACCCATCATAGCTGGGTTGGCCCATGTACGACTGGGTTTTGAACTTGAGCTCTGCTCCCCAACCACGCCGTCCCACAAATACTATAAAGCTATAGTAGGTAACCCATATCCAAGTTTACTTTTTCCCACAATTACTATAAAGCTATAGTAGGTAACCCATATCCAAGTTTACTTTTTCCTGTTCATCTGTAGGTAGTTTCTCCTGATAGAGCCCTCGACTCTGTAGCTAGTTTCTTCTGATAGAGCCCTCGACTCAAAGATTTGAAGACAATTTAATTTTAACATATTTTCTGTATGAAAACTTAGAAAATCGACACAAAATGCATCTCGGGTTATTCCAAAAACTGCGACAGTTAACATTAGTTTCTAGCATACTAAAAACAAGCAAGCTTTGTTTATTTTTAACACGATGTAGTATCCTAGCTGAAGTTAACTAAACTTGTATTAAACAGGAAATACTTTTTGACAGGCAGTTTAGTGATGTACACGGGAGATAACCACTGTTTTACTCACATTTAATAAAAGTTTTAGTTACCTCCCATGTTTCACATAAGTGTGACGGTTGGTCTAAAACAGGGGTCTCCAAACTTTTCATTCCGAGGGCCGCATTACCCATCAAATTTCAGTTCGGGGGCCAGTTTCTTCTAGGCATGTCTTTAATTTTTCTGGGCAAAGTTCCTCAGCCATCACCAACAGACGATTTTTCCTTGGACAAAGATCTCCGCGGGCCGGATGAGAGAACTTCGCGGGCCGCATTCGGCCCGCGGGCCGTAGTTTGGAGACCCCTGGTCTAAAATCTAAAAATTCTCTTGGTACGTATTTTAGACTACACCAGTACACCTCGCAAAGTGATCTGACTTAATCAGACACTTATCTGCGTACATGCTACGAAACCACGATGAAGGCTACTAGTCTACACTCAACATTTACTGCCAAACAAAACATTGATCTATCCTGCTACCATCATCCTGCTACCATCATCCTGCTACCATCATCCTCCTACCATCATCCTGCCACCATCATCCTGCCACCATCATCCTGCCACCATCATCCTGCCACCATCATCCTGCTACCATCATCCTGCCACCATCATCAACATCATCCTGCTACCATCATCCTGCTACCGTCATCCTACTACCATCATCCTACTACCATCATCCTGCTACCATCATCCTGCTACCATCATCCTGCTACCGTCATCCTACTACCATCATCCTACTACCATCATCCTGCTACCATCATCCTGCTACCATCATCCTGCTACCATCATCCTGCTACCATCATCCTGCTACCATCATCCTACTACCATCATCCTGCTACCATCATCCTGCTACCATCATCCTACTACCATCATCCTGCAACCATCATCCTGCTACCATCATCCTGCTACCATCATCCTGCTACCATCATCCTGCTACCATCATCCTGCTACCATCATCCTGCTACCATCATCCTGCTACCATCATCCTGCTACCATCATCCTTCTACCATCATCCTGCTACCATCATCCTGCTACCATCATCCTACTACCATCATCCTGCTACCATCATCCTGCTACCATCATCCTGCTACCATCATCCTGCTACCATCATCCTTCTACCATCATCCTACTACCATCATCCTACTACCATCATCCCACTACCATCATTCTGCTACCATCATCCTGCTACCATCATCCTACTACCATCATCCTGCTACCATCATCCCACTACCATCATTCTGCTACCATCATCCTGCTACCGTCAAATTTAAATACCTACAATGGACGAAAGTGAAATCGATGAGTTGAGTTCGATCATTATTGTTAATATGGATTAAAAACGTGCTTGTAACAAGCTTTTATTTTACTTGCTTTCTGTCTGTCTTAATCCTGCATATCTAGATCGAAACGGGAGAACGAAATTTTGGGCACTTCTAATTGATCAATTTCTTTGAAATTTGGTACGTGACATTAAATTTGACATAATTGGATGAATAATTAATTTTTTTATTTATATTTCTTATCATGTTCACTAGGTACGGAATAATTTTCTGTATTAACAATTTTTAAATATTGCAAAAGATGCATAAAAGCTTTCTAAAATACCAAAAAATAAACCGGGAGTGATCTCCCCTAAACTTTCTCGATATAAAAAAACAGGGGATGGGAACTCAGGGTAGACATGATTTTAATCCATTTTTAATTACTAATACGAACGCCCTAGTCTATCGACGAACTAATAAGGTTCTCTGTGTGGAGACTGGTGACCCACTGCAGGTTCTCTGTGTGGAGACTGGTGACCCACTGTACGTTCTCTGTGTGGAGACTGGTGACCCACTGTAGGTTCTCTGTGTGGAGACTGGTGACCCACTGCAGGTTCTCTGTGTGGAGACTGGTGACCCACTGTAGGTTCTCTGTGTGGAAACTGGTGACCCACTGTAGGTTCTCTGTGTGGAGACTGGTGACCCACTGTAGGTTCTCTGTGTGGAAACTGGTGACCCACTGTAGGTTCTCTGTGTGGAGACTGGTGACCCACTGTAGGTTCTCTGTGTGGAGACTGGTGACCCACTGTAGGTTCTCTGTGTGGAGACTGGTGACCCACTGTAGGTTCTCTGTGTGGAGACTGGTGACCCACTGTAGGTTCTCTGTGTGGAGACTGGTGACCCACTGCAGGTTCTCTGTGTGGAAACTGGTGACCCACTGTAGGTTCTCTGTGTGGAGACTGGTGACCCACTGCAGGTTCTCTGTGTGGAGACTGGTGACCCACTGTAGGTTCTCTGTGTGGAGACTGGTGACCCTACTGCACGTGATGCGGTGTGAGTAGTGTGTGTGTCTGATCACGTGACCCGCCAGCCACAGTACCAGGTCACGTGGTCCAAAAATTAACATCAAACGTCAGCTAATGGACCGGATCACGTGACCAACGACGCCCTTTATTTAATTAATGTCGAGAGATCGGGTGGCCGCTAAAAGCTTTCATCTGGCCCCCTACGTACGACAACAGGTGCCAACAAGTGACCATAGGTGACAACAGGTGACAACAGGTGACAACAGGTGACACTAAGCAAAGACTCATCACATAAAACAAGTTTTTTACCTGTTTGTACCATCAGTAATTTTTTAAACGGCTGTAGAATCAGGTGTTTTTTTATTTTTACTTGCTGTAGAACCAGTCTTTACCCGTCTCTCGACTCAGCGTTATGGAGTACTCAGGAGACCTTGACCGATACAAAGAGCGAGCGATTTCTCTGTTAAACGACCAGGTGGGGTGGAAGACCTCGTCTAAATCAAAGGTCAGTCAAATGTCAAAATAACTTTAGACAGGCACAGGTCATGTTTGCATATGACAGTTGTTTGTTTGTGTGTGTCAGAACTAACCAAACAGAAATATAAAAATAATTACAATTAAGTGACCGTGTCGAAATAGTCAGATAGAGCTGACCTTTTCCTGTGACTTCGGTACCTGAAGGGACAGCTGTGATCAGCCTATGTTTGCTCGACTTTACTTTCTTCACCGTAAGATGCCCACAGAATTGGGTGACTCAGGGAAGTCCGTCAGACTCGAGACTTTCAGGTTGTGGCTCAACCGTTTGACCACACCGCCCCATGAGATATAGCCTCGTATTGCTCAGGCGGCAGATAGTGGTATCAGACAATCCACCACACTCAGACAATCCACCTATGTCAGATAATACACTAATATCAGACTATCCACCAATATCATACAAATTACCTATGTCATACAATCCACCAATGCCCGACAACCCACCAATGAGCGTTCTAATAATACTGTAAGCCTCAATAGTGCTAATTTTCTTGGGGAGAATAGGCTTATTTTATCTTTAGTCAGATCAGGTATCTATACTATCTATAATATAACGCTGGTGGTAGTGTGTCAGTCCTTCCTTCCTTCCGTCATCGCTATTGATTTTGGAACCATAAAGGTAAACATCAAACCATGTAGTGCATTTAAATTGCATCGCATTGTCATACTAAATGAAATAGAGTCGGGTTTGTTTATATAACGATTTAAATTTATTTTATAGTTGCCAAAGTTTTTACTCTTTGGCATAACGTAAAGAAAATATTAAATAAACGCACATTGCTAAAGGATATTAAACGGATCAATGTCAAAAATATTTTCGCTAAGATTCTTTGAAAAAACTGGATACATTTTAATTACAGTAGGGTCGAAAAAACTAATTAATCAAAATATTAAATAATTCTGCCAGGGGAAGTATTTTAAAAAGAAATTCCGCCGGCGTCCTGGTAGGGTGCAATTTGGCCACCGGGCTAGACTGTGCGCACTATGCGTTTATGTTTGCATGTAAGTTGTGTTCATGTTATGCGAGTTGCGTTAGCGTTGGCGTTTGTGTTTTCTTTTGTGTTTTTTGCGTTTGCATTTATGCTTGCATTGTGTTTGTGTTTGCATTGTTTTTGTGTTTGCGTTATCGTTTGTGTTTATATTGTGTTTTCTTTTGTGTTTGCGTTGTGTTTGTGTTTAGTTTTGTTCTGTTCTGTTCCCAAGTTGGTACATTTAAAAAAGATAATCCGTGGCGGAGCACGGGTACGCAGCTAGTTCTATAGAAGGCTTAACGTGTAGAATTAAAATACTTATTACAGATCTTCATGTATATATAAAACATCTTTTTTAAAAATTAAATAAAATTAAAATAAGCCTTCCCTAAAAATAATTACATTTTGAAGTTTTAAAAAAGTATCCATTCCTCCCCAATATCTCTGACATTTTAACAAATCATTGCCCTCCCCCCCCCTCCACCCCCAATATCTCTGACATTTTAACAAATCATAGCCTTCCTAATACCTCTGACATTTCCACAGGAAAACATACTGATAGAAGCCAAACCCTCTGAACGCCACAACTGTTCCATGTAAGTGTTGTCAGTTCTTTGTTGTGGCTATTGTTCTTTGTTGTGATTGATCTTGGTGGTTGTTGTTCTTTGTGGTGGTTGTTGTGGATGTTGTTTTTGTGTTGTGGTTGTTGTAGTGGTTGTTGTGGTGGTTGTTGTGGATGTTGTTTTTTGTTGTGGTTGTTGTGGTGGTTGTTCTTTGTGGTGGTTGTTGTAGTGGTTGTTCTTTGTGATGGTTGTTGTGGTGGTTGTTCTTTTTGGTGATTGTTGTGGTGGTTGTTCTTTGTTGTGATTGTTGATCTTCGTCTTCTTGTTCTAACGGTTTTACTAGAGGTTTCAGCTTAGGTAACATTGAGTGTATGAGAGTTAGTAACATAATTGTTGAGCAGTAATAGATAGTTTTCTAAAGTTATGCCTAATATGTTGATGTATCAAATATTCACTTCTCTTTAGTCTCCTATAAATTAGGCCTCAAATTTTGATGTACCTAAATATTCAATTCTCTCGCTTTTTATTTTTTATACTTGACAACATCAAGTATGACTTGTAAATCGTTTTGTTTCCATAGCAACCGTCAGACCATCCAGGTGAATGCGCCGCTGAAAGTTGTCATGGAAACGGTGTCCCTCACGCCGGGCTCGAGAAGGACCGAGTGGGATACGGACGTCCAAGAAGTCCGAGAGATCCAGCGGATATCTGACGTAAGCAATGGACAACAGCTGTCGGAAATGTTACTCTAGGACAGTGTCTGTCAACTGACGGAAATGTTAAGACTGTCAACTACCGAAAATATTAAGACTGTCTGTCAACTACCGGAAATGCTAAGACCCCCATCTCTCCTCACTGTGCCGCCTGGTTTAGGGACCCAAGAATAAACGGAGCTTTCAAAAGACAGGGTATATTTATAGCACAGTCTTCTAACATTGGAGACCATGTGACTAAGAGGAGGGACGGTGTGGTCGATTAGTAGAGCGTTAGACTATTAACCCGAAAGTCTTGAGTTCGTAATACGTCTCTGATGGGTAAAATAAAGGCATAGTGCTGACCACTCTTTCACTTCATAGGCCGTGGTACTAAAACAGGTGAACTCTACTTCACCTGCCCCGAAAGGTTTAAAAAGGTAGCACCTGACTAAGTGTACACTGACGTTTTCAGACGGCCTGGGTGCAGCTGATCAGGACGAATGGCCTGGGTGCAGGAGTCATCTCACCCCGGGAGTTTGTTGACGTCATACAGACGGTGGAGCAAACAGAAAACAGCGTCATCATTACAGGTAATCAGATCTGTACAGGTAGGATGTAGTGACGTCATTACAGGTAATCAGATCTGTACAGGTAGGATGTAGTGACGTCATTACAGGTAATCAGATATGTACAGGTAGGATGTAGTGACGTCATTACAGGTAATCAGATATGTACAGGTAGGATGTAGTGACGTCATTACAGGTAATCAGATGTGTACAGGTAGGATGTAGTGACGTCATTACAGGTAATCAGATCTGTACAGGTAGGATGTAGTGACTGATCGACAACTATTGGCTTCTTGGCGCTTCACAACCTACCCACCTAACAACCTACCCACCTAACAACCTAACAACCTACCCACCTAACAACCCTTCAGCCGAGCACGTGACGCCCGTAGCCTCGTGTCACGTGACCTGAATGCACGTGTCTTCTACAGGTGGAAGTGTTGAGTACCCCCAACTGGAATCGGATGGGAAATATGTCCGCGGGTTCAACGGGTGCATGTTGTTGAAAGTTGAAGCTAGCAGGTGAGTCTTATGTCGTAAGGTGAGTCTTAGGTCGTCAGGTGAGTCTTAGGTCATCAGTTGAGTCTTAGGTCGTCAGGTGTCGTCAGGTGAGTCTTAGGTCTTCAGGTGTCGTCAGGTGAGTCTTAGGTCTTCAGGTGTCGTCAGGTGAGTCTTAGGTCGTCAGGTGAGTCTTAGGTCATCAGGTGAGTCTTAGGTCGTCAGGTGAGTCTTAGGCCGTCAGGTGAGTCTTAGGTCATCAGGTGAGTCTTAGGTCGTCAGGTGAGTCTTAGGTCGTCAGGTGAGTCTTAGGTCGTCAGGTGAGTCTTAGATCATCAGGTGAGTCTTTGGTCGCCAGGTGTCGTCAGGTGAGTCTTTGGTCGTCAGGTGAGTCTTGGGTCGTCTGTCGTCAGGTGAGTCTTAGGTCGTCAGGTGTCGTCAGGTGAGTCTTTGGTCGTCAGGTGAGTCTTGGGTCGTCTGTCGTCAGGTGAGTCTTAGGTCGTCAGGTGTCTTCAGGTGAGTCTTTGGTCGTCAGGTGAGTCTTGGGTCGTCTGTCGTCAGGTGAGTCTTAGGTCGTCAGGTGTCGTCAGGTGAGTCTTTGGTCGTCAGGTGAGTCTTGGGTCGTCTGTCGTCAGGTGAGTCTTAGGTCGTCAGGTGTCGTCAGGTGAGTCTTTGGTCGTCAGGTGAGTCTTGGGTCGTCTGTCGTCAGGTGAGTCTTAGGTCGTCAGGTGTCGTCAGGTGAGTCTTTGGTCGTCGGGTGAGTCTTGGGTCGTCTGTCGTCAGGTGAGTCTTAGGTCGTCAGGTGTCGTCAGGTGAGTCTTTGGTCGTCAGGTGAGTCTTGGGTCGTCTGTCGTCAGGTGAGTCTTTGGTCGTCAGGTGTCGTCAGGTGAGTCTTTGGTCGTCAGGTGAGTCTTGAGTCGTCTGTCGTCGGGTGAGTCTTAGGTCAACAGGTGAGACTAGGTTCTCTGGGGATCTATGTATTCAGGTGAGAATGGGTTCACTGGGGATCCTTTGCCTACACAACCGCTGTGCCAGATACCCAAAAAGGCTGAGTCGACTCCCATATCTTCCACAGCCCTGCCGGACCTACCCGTGTCGTCGTCATCTCAGAGTTAGACTTTAAGGGGAAACTACCGCGGACCTTGGTCGACGTCACCATGGCAACCGTCATCTCCTCCAACATCTCTAACTGGTTCAAGTACCTTGCCACGCTAGGCTACAGCCAGTGACGTCATCATGCTAGGCTACATCCAGTGATGTGATCACGCTAGGCTACAGCCAGTGTCGTGATCACGCTAGGCTACAGCAAAGTACATGATCACGTTAGGCTACAGCCAATAACGTGATCACGCTAGGCTACAGCTAATAACGTGATCACACTAGGCTACAGCCAGTGACATGATCACGCTAGGCTACATTAGAAGTACTCGCTACAAGACCATCTACAGTCATATTATTTTAAAGACAAAATTGAAAGAAAAGATAAAATACCACACTTGTTATTGAAAGAAAAAATAAAATATCACACTTGTTATTGAAAGAAAAAATAAAATACCACACTTGCTATTGAAAGAAAAAATACTAGACTTGTTATTAAAAGAAAAGATAAATACCACACTTTTTATTGAAAGAAAAGATAAAATACTAAACTTGTTATTAAAAGAAAAGATAAAATACCACACTTGTTATTGAGAGAAAAGATAAAATACCACACTTGTTATTGAAAGAAAAAATAAAATACCACACTTGTTATTGAAAGAAAAGATAAAATACCACACTTGTTATTGAAAGAAAAGATAAAATACCACACTTGTTATTGAAAGAAAAGATAAAATACCACACTTGTTATGATAGATCTACATGCAATGATAAGATTGAGGTAGCAATAAAAGATGGGAGGTCTTGATCGTTGAAAAAATTGTTTTGGTTTTTTTTTTTACATTTGTTGTCTGGGTTCGTCAAATGTTATAGACGAAATTATCGGTCATGTAATTGGTATGATTATAGGTATGATGATTGGTGTAATGATTCGTTTAATGATTGGTGTGATATTTGGTGTAATGATTGGTTTGATGTTTGTTGTAATGATTGGTGCAACAATTGGTACGATTATTGTTATAAGCCGATTACATACATTCAGGCAAATACAACCTAAAGACGATACACTCAAATACGACCAGACGACTTTATAGACAGATCATACACAGACCTCGTATATTGTGGTTACATGAAGCTTGAAAGTCCAATCGTTATTGGTCAACTGTTTGCCTTGTTTGTTGGTGACAGGGTTTCATTCAGACATTTTTCTACGGGGGGGGGGGGGGGGGGGGCACTTAGGTTTTCCATGTTGGGAATGGGGCGAATTCTGTTTAAAGTAAATATTTTCTTATAGAATATCATCATCGGAGTATAACAGCCCCCCCCCCCCCTCACATCCGACAGTTGACGGTAATAGGGCTGGTAAGTAGGTCACCAACCAGTTATACGGCTCAATAAAACCTGCATGAGACATAGAGCTGGTTGGTGACCTACTTACCAGCCCTATTCACCCGACCAGTGAAGGGGGACAGGTTTCCCATGAGTGTAAGCCGGTAAAAAAAACGGTCTGCCGGTGATGATGATTATACCCCCCCCCCCTCCGCCCATCCCCCCAAGCGATGCCTGAAAAAAACTCTGGTTCATGATTTCTCTAGCTCACCTGATGTATGTGTGTGTTGATATCGAGATTATAAGTTTACATGTTAAGTTGAATAGTTGCTTGATTCTCTAGCTTTAGCGGAGTGTGATGACGTCATATGCTAAGTTGAATCAGACCACTAGACTGCTCATTCAGACTGCCCAGTTTTAATTTCATCCCATTTCCAACTTTAGACATTCAACTGTAAACATTGCTTTGAGCACCCGGGGTCAAGGCTTCTCCATGCAGACGATGGTGGATGTTACATTCAAACAATTGTTTTCTAATCATCGCTGGCCATCCCAGCCGTGTCCGACTGACCACTGTCCACGTAACTGCCCGGAGTGTCCACTCTCTACCCAGATTTAGCACAGCTAGAAAAGACAAGAGCGATGAGACTAATATCTCCCGAGTGAGATATAAAAACGTCATCACTGACGTGTTACTACGTCATCAATGACGTGTTACTCTCGTTAGAGCAGACGACACGTCCTCCACCCCCCCCCCTCCACCCCGCCGTTTTGTGTTGTTGTTTTTTCGTTTTGTCCGCACCAATTGACCGTCCTAACAGCCTTGGAAGCTGTGTCCAAGTACGATTCGAACCCGCGCCTTCCCCGCGGCCCTGTGGCTTATTAATGAAGTGAGGAGTCCATTGAGTCCCTGACTGGCCCGGTGGCAGGGAGAATGGCCTACAAATATTGACCGTTCATTAGCCGGACACAATGGGGCGGGGCGCGCCCATTGTGACAGCACTTGTGTGGGAGACGAGGGCCCATTGAGGGCCTGGCTAGCGTACCCACCGGCAGACCGGTTTTTTACCGGCTTACACTCACGGGAAACCTGTCCCCCTTCACAGGTCGGGTGAATTACCGTCAACAGATGGATGTCGGGAGGGGGGGGGGGTTATACTGTATACTTCGATGATGATTATCCCTGACGCTTGGAAAAAAATGATGGCTTTTATTTTATTTTTATTTATTTTTTAACGTCTTGTCGACTCAAAAAAAAATGTCAAGGAGGAAAAATAAAATATCACAGTAGATTTATACGTTAATTTTTTAATCTCTTTTTTTTTAAATAATGTAAAATTAAAAATAATAAACGCCCTTAAACTTTCTCCAGTTTTCTTATATAACACTACGGGGGATGACAACTCGGGATATAGACATGATTTTAAACAATTTTTAATTCATTAAACTTTTAAAAATAGAATAGAATCTCGTAGAAAAAATAATTGCGCACCAAGTGAACGGCAAACAACATCTCTATAATAGTGCGGAATATTATAAATTCATATTCGGTTGTTTTTTTTAGAAATCGGAAATAGCGTAAATTACTACTTACTGCAACGTAAATAACTCAAAATTTGATAGAAGGCAGAGAATAAGTTGTTTTACTTAGAGATGAAATTTCGTTCACATATCCTGAACAGTTCTCAAGTTATAGGTTTTTGAAAAATTAAAAGTAGAATAAGTTTCATTCCGTTTACCGGAAATCACTGAAACGTTGATAAAGATCTACACATTTGATGCAATACTTATATATGAAATTTCATCAACCTAGCTGTAACGGTACTCAAGTTATCGTGTTCACAGACACACATACACACACATACACATAACATACACATACACAAACATACGAACAAGCTTGCAAAACTATATTTTTCCGACTCAGGGAGGTAAAAAAAAATAAAAATTGCACGATTACAATACTTCCTCTACACTTCATATACGCGAAAGTAAAAAACGGATCTGGTTGAAGTTCATATAATATATATATATATTTATATAAAATAAAGATGGCTACAATACTGTGTGAGGGTTATAATACTGTGTGAGGGTTACAACACTGATTGCTCGAAATTTGAGGGCTACG